AGCCCTTCAACGTCTTTACGAATGTGGGTAACATATCGGTAGCTTGACTTCAGCTCAGTGAAGCGGGAGAAGAAACAAACCAATAGACGAACGCGAAACAAAGATTGCCGGTAGGAATAACCACATCGCAGGCTTTCCCAAGTGAGGCTTGCTGCCTCCATTGCCACCGGGAACTCGTTATTCCATCGTCTCCCCTACCTAGCTACTATACCCTCTCTTACCATTGGCCGAGAATTCGTCCTCCGGCTCCTGTTGGCAAGGATTACGGTCCAGCAGTACAAACCTCAGTGGCACCCTACAGCCTCTATCCCCAGGGGGAAGCGGAAGCTTCTTTTGCTCTATATCCATGGCTTCATGGGCAATGAAATGAGCATTCAGAGCTTCACCGCCCATCTGCACAACTTGTTATCGGTCACTTTGGATGATTTGGGCTGGTACGTTCACACAAAGGTGTACCCAAAGTTCTAGACTAGGTACAACATCTCTGTCGCGACGGAAGTGTTTTCGAAATAGCTTGTGTGATTTGAGAAGCCAGGCATGGATGTAATATTACTTGGCCACTCTATAAGGGGGATTCTAACGGTGGAGGTGGTGTTGTTGTTGAGGAATGAGCGGCGGGGATTTAGACATAGAATTTTGGGGGTTGACTATTTCGATTCACCGCTTTTGGGGATGCATCCGGGGGTTATATCTGCTGGGTTGGGGGATTTGTCTAGGTCAGAAGGGAAGAGTCCTTCTGAGGAGGATGGTTCAGCCGCGGGTGCGGGTGTATGCGGGCCAAAATTCGAGTACCGCTTTGCTGTCAACAGTTTCTTCTGGCAGCATGGTGGGTGAGTTCTTCGACACAAGGCCTGGGCAGAATTTCACGATTGTGCAGAGTAAGCGAGGTACGGGCTAATAAAAATATTCCCGCGGGGGGAGGTGGAAGCGCTAATGTGAGAACTACAAGTACTCGCCAAAATCAGAAGTCTGTCCCCGACCTTTACCTAAACACCGGTTTGCATGTACTGATACTATGCTTAGCCAATGGAAATGGGTGGTGCCCCAAGATAACTCGAGAGCACTAACATCAAGACCACTTGACGATACTGCTGGAACGTAGTTTTCAAGTTATCAAGCATGATAATTTTTTTTACCATTTACTGCAATATATCTTTGCATAATTGTCAGTAGTCTTAATATCTCCCTGTTGCTTTCCTCTACTGTAAGCTGCTGCCATGCCTCCCAAAGCTCTACTTTCATCTTCGTAATAGTGGTAATACGATTTTGACCTTGATGATAATACTGTAGCTTCTTTCGAAAAAGATCCTAAATGTGCTCGATGGGATTAAAGTTGGGAGAGTTTGGTGGCCATGCTACTTTCGTACTCCTCCTTTTACACATTCACCCATGTCGGTATAAAATGCTGTATGTGCTGGGGCACCATCATCCATGAGAATGGAGTTAGGATTTTGGTGTTGAAGACGCTGACATTTAGGCTACACTATTGGTGATGCAACATGCTTAACGTAGCGTTAGGCATCGACTCCTCCCTTCTTTCCTGTCCGTTTTAGCTTTTCAATTCTCCAAGCCTTTCTCCTCCATGACTGTGTTGTTTTTGGTAGAATTTGTCCTCGATCCTATTATTATAATTATTGTTAGTTAGATATTTTACTTGACTACAGAGTTGAGTTAAAGTTAATTTAATAAAGTCAGCAGTGGATAATATTACCTTTGCCTCTTGTCAGACTCTAGCTACCTCTAGGAGTTCCTGCTTTTTAAGAATGGAATTCTTCTCTGATACTTTCCATTCCACTGTCACTCATTCCTGTTCCTCAACAATTTTTACAAATCCTATCCAGTGGGCTTCTAGCAACAGGCCCGGGTAATGAGACTTCTCTCTGGGCTAGGTATAATAGTTCTTAGGCCTATGCCTACATTGTTACAATAGCTAAGTCTCTAGGACTCCTATTTGACAACGCCTATACTACCATGATAAGTTGAGCTCGTACAACTATCAATGTAGTTGTCTTCGTACTATCTTCCGATAGGTAGTTATCAGAAGAGGTGATCTCGTAAAGAGTGTAAGGTTGTTTTATTTGTAATATAAGAGTATAGGAAAGAACTTAGAACAATGTGTGAAGAACCTAAGCTCAAGGATCCTAGTGACTCTTTATATAGTTGTTTTTCCTATATTGTCATAGCCACTAGGATTGGGACAATGTGGTTGCTACACAGAGTTTTCCTTTGTATCAGATGGGTTGGGTATCTTGTAGTGTCGGGTGGTTGGCTTGTGTAATGAAAACCAATAGAAGAAAAGGAACACATCACAGCTGCATGTGACTAGTGGAGGATCACAGGTTATTAGGTTTCCTTTATCTATATAAAGGGGTGTGCCCCTTATGAGTTTACTTTATTCTCTGTCTCTGCTACACCTCTGGTGATTGAATACTCAATACTATAGTTACTATTGTGGCTTTTGTCATCTAGCACCATCACCACCCCCCAACTCCCTCCATCTAGCCTTGGCTACAGGAGGTGGACCCACTTCCTCTCACTCTTGAGGCCTTGATTTAATTCTTGATTCTCTTGGTTCCATCCCTGGTTGGGGTTCTTCATCTTTGTAATGTTTCTCCTCTTTCTACCCCACATTGCTTAGGCTTTGGCATGGTTGGCAACCCCTTTACTACTAGCAGCAGATAGCGGGGACTACAGTTTGCGGTAGGAGAGAATAGCCTTCAGGCTTTAGTTGATATCTCTATTGTCTTGCTTCCCTAAGCGACTATTTAGTCAGATACAAATGCGATAACTGATAGCTGTTTACCACGGTCTTGGGTCTACCCCTCCTCTTCTCTTTAGGGCTATTTTGACTGGCAGGTGGTGGGATCCTGTCTACTATAGTGACGCTATCTCTCCTAGAACAAGGGATTATGTGAGAGATATGGTAAAATACTTGCTTCACTTAGGACTCTCCTCTACAGTTGGATCAGCTAGTACCCTACTACTACCACCTGTCAAGCTGGTACCTTACTGCCCCAATCATCAGATTTCCTGGAGGACATACGGTCGCAGGCACGCCTACCACAAACCTCCTCTACTTGCTTCTTGGTTACCGCCTTTATGGTGGTTTCCCTTATACCCTTCACGTCCGGAGCTCCAGCCCCCTCCTCTTAGTCCTCAACATATGGTCTAGTGGTCCCCATCTAGGGGATTTAAGTTGTGATTGTTGGCTCTTAGGGGTTTGGTTTGGGTTTCTGCCTTTAGGTATTTTGTTTTTAGGGTTGGACAGGTTCTTAGTTGACTGTCAGGTAGCTAGCTTTCTTTTATCACTTGGTAGTAGGGGTTATTGGGTGGAGTAGTTTATTGGAAGGATTATGGGCAGGAGTAGTTTTTTCTACCTCAGAGGGTTCTTTTAGCTCTGCCGTTCGGCCTGGTCTCAGAGGGGGCAGTTTTTTAGGCATCATAGCTAGCACTCCATATGCCTTTTTGTCCCATAAATAAAAATTTAAATGAGGCAAATAAGAACAAAAAAAAGAAAAAACTTTATGAGTTTACTTTTCTCCATACAATCTGGTATTTACCTTTCGACATCTGTACCCAGGAAATACACCTTTCTCTTTCTCTCAGTTACATGAGCCCTGAGTCCCTGAACCCTGACCCTGAGCTCCTGGACACCTGAACTTCCTTACCCAGTACAAACCTCTGGCAGCTGATGATTTTACATGACTTATAAAGTTGTAAGTTATAGGTTTCACATGATGTGAGGTATGAGTCACACCGGGTGAAGAGCAACTATATAAAGAGTCACTAGGACCCTAACTATGAGCTCTTCATATGTTCTTTTAAGTTATTTCTTACACTTTAAGTTTTACTATAAAAATATACTGGTAGTCCTTCAAGTTATTCTCTTTCAAGAAACCTGAGGACTATGTTTCCTCCCATGCCAAAGTATTAAGTCCTACACGAGGACTTAAGACGATTAAGGTATTAAGTGCAACTTGTTTGAAGTCAAAGGACTTAACTATCAATGTTGTGTAGGCAATGGCTTAAGAACTAATTACTTCTACATCATAGAGGAATCATTACCTGTCGTGTGCCTTAGCCCCGTGTATGATTCTTAACACTATACTGCTTGATACCATGCTTGTATAGAACTCAAAGTAGTGTAGAGTTGGAAACATTCTTCTCCAATCCAGTAGCGTCACATAGGTCAGCTAAGGGCATTCATCTGGTCTCAAAACTCAGTCATACAGTAGATATAATGTGTTCTTCCTCATCATGTCTAAGACAAGGGTGGCGCCCGGATGGATGTTTAGGATCCAAGATGTCTGGCTTAAGGCATACTGATAAGGAAGAATTTGCATCTGATGAAATTCCCTCCTCCAAGCCAGCACGATCTTTAATATCCCTTGTGATCTTAGCACAGATGTTGGGGGTAAGGTTCAGCTGCTGGCCAATATCGGAAAACCTCTTTCCAGAAAAATAGAGACTAATTATGCTAGAACGACGTCGTGGTATAACTTCAAGTCCTGTTCATCTTCAGTCCAGAATTCTTCCCCTTCCTCCTTCAGGGTAGGAATACCTTTTTCATGGTCTATCGTTGAGAATTCTTAATCAAAGAGTCACTGGTAGTTGGTTCCGTGAGTATCGAGTGGATTAAAAATTGCCACCCGGATGTGGTGTCATAGGGTATGATATGTCACCGGTTGCCATGAGCCAAGCACATTACTCTTCAAGTACCAGTACATAACAGTCAGCGCTTAGGTAAAGGTCGGGGACAGACTTCTGATCCTGGCGAGTACTCGTACAGGAAATGACTTGGGAGATTCATCTTGAAGTTGACCCGCTCACCCCCAAATCACACGCCAGGAATCTTAGTACAAGCTTGGCGCTATCTCGCTGAACTGTGATCAGGTCTAATCTAACCTCAGCTGGTGTGACGGTCACGGATGACATCACCCAGCTAAACCCGCCGCCCGAACTGAAAAGCCAACAACGCCCTGATTCCCTGCTGCAACCACCACACCTCTTTCTCTCAACTCCACAATCCACAATCCACAATCCACAACCTCCGACGCTGATACCACCTAACTAGCAGCACTCTCCCCCGTAGCTGCCACCGACCTCCAGAAAAAAAATGGCTGCCGTACCTGCTGAGAATGTGGATGCACCCCGAACTCCCTTCCAGCCCCCCCAGCCATTGGGATGTCCCCCACCGGGATGGAGACCGGATCTCTCCCCACCTTCCTCTCTAGCCTCAGCACACCTAAGCCCACAACCTAGCGCACCACACGACATGAATTATTATCTCACCGAGGGGTTAAAGGATGTGGAGCACCAGCAATACCGCGATAGGCAGTCTTTCATAAGGGCCATTGACTCACAAGTCAAAAAATTACGTTCCGGCAAAGCTGGCCAGTACCTAGTATTTGCCCCTGTGATGCAAGACCAACTTGAGGTGATCAAGCGTATTCGCCATTCACACCAGAAAGGAGTCCGCTTCCATTACTTCAACCGTGAAGAGACATTGATAGTGAAAATATTTGCTGGCGCAGTTCAGGCAATGGTGGGCAGTGGATTCGGAACCAGGTTGGATGTGAAGATAGGTAGCATGGGGCTACTTAGTTATACCTGCCGGATGGATGCCGCCATCTACGAAGGTAATGGGAGCCAAAAGCAAGCGAACATTGCCTGGGAACCTTGGTCACCTCGCCACGGTGCAGCCGACTGGCCAACCGTGGTCATCGAATGTGGAGTTTCCCAATCCCGTGATCGCTTGGAGGTCGAAGCCAACTGGTGGTTCGAGAACTCCGGCGGACAGGTGAAAATAGTTTTCCTCATCTCATTCTCCGAAAAAAGGAAAGAAATACATTTCCAGCAGTGGGAATTGGTCACCGTTCCGGACTCATATGTTTCTCCGGGTCAACCTACAGCCACCAGAACTTCTCCAACAATAATGCGCGAATTCGACCTCGCCCCAGGCGTACCAAGCAAAGAGTCCTTGATGCTCAACTTCGAAAAAGTCTTCCTTCGCCCGCCCGCCTGGGGCAAGGGCCAACACGAAGGGGATATTACCTTCTCTCCACAGGATCTTGAAGAGTACGCTACTCATGTCTGGCCTATGGGAAGAATTGATCCAACTATTGTAGTAAGTCAACCCTGCCCTGCTGCTGCTGGAAACTGTGTTCACTGCTAACTGCCTGAACTGCAGAAGGGGTAGAGAGTAGAGGGGACACCGGGATGAATAGGTGGTATTGTAGATAATACATCGAAGGTAGCTTTGGTAGCTGTTAGTTGGGGCGGAGGCACTAGGCAGGGTTTCAAAAAGTGTGCTTTCGATTTGCTTCTTTTTCTGTACAGCAGTCGTATACTATCGAGGCTTTGCACTGCCGAACGCACTCCAGTTACCACAGCAACGAGGTGGGTTAGGGTTACTGGAGTGCAGACTGGAAGTGCCGGGGCTTGCACGCACTCCTGGAGTGCAGCACTATGCACGCACTTCACCTTGCACTTGGAGGGTAAACAGATACTGTGATTGGAGGATTTCAATTTCACAACCGAACCTCCATTCAAATACCTGACAATCTCTAACTGTCCGCCCATAATACAGTGACCGTCTGCCCCCTACGCCCAATCTTACACCCCACCCCCGGCCCCCCTCAACTATGTCCTACGCCTGTTGCAAGAACTACCGTACCGCTATTCCTAAACTATGAATCTCGATTTAAACAATTATCCCCTAGCAGCCCTGTTCTTATCCAATTCAGACATAATCTAAACAGACTTAGTAACAGAAATTTATTACTAGAGACTGAGACCATGACCTATTTCTCTCATGCTTGCCAAGAAATTGAAGTACATTCAACTGAACCTGCAAAACCTCGTTTTTCTCCCATCTGCACTTAGTGTGGCAAATTTGTCCCGCGGAGTGCGTGCGGCGAGTGCAAAACCTCGATATTAGGGAGGCCTTGCTACCATGGTCATCACTAGAATTGTCCTTGTTGCCAGGACAACGGCACTGACCATACCAAATTTGTGAAAGTGCTGAGTGGCTCAACTATGCTCAGTCTTAAGAGAAAATCTCAAGATATAGCATATCTTACACGACGGGAATTTGGGTACCCTGTTTCGGGCTTCGCGGGTTTGTGTAATTTTTGCGGTAGAAATAGGTCTGGAGGGATTTCTTTAGGCGGTATTGGTCGTGCGCTGTTTGGTGGGCATCTGCAAGGTCAACTTTGCGAATAGGAAATCATGATATTACAGCTTAGAGATATGATTGTTCTTTTCCTTTGGAGTCGGCATGGAAGGGGTCCGGTTAGATAGGTGATGACCCTAGCGGAGATATTAGAGTGACCAATGCACTACTCGCCCCCCAAAAAAAGTCTGGCCCCGAATTTTATGAACATTTCATGAAGGTGGTACTTGCTCTAGTTGGGTTGTAAACAGGTGGTTCCAGAACGATGACTAACAGCCGCCCGCCCAGTTCCATTCTTTCCTTCCCTGGTCGTAGCCCCTCCACTTCGCCATCGTGCCGAATGGCCCATTTTTTCTCTTCCTTCGCTTTCTCCCAGGCTTTGACTGCTTTTCCGTGACCTTCCACACTCTTCTCTCGCAGTTTCAGCGCCATTGTAGTGATCTTCTCAGCGGGCTTACACACGGTTGCATGTGGGATATGTGAGTAGTCAAATCCTATTGGCTTCACTGGTGGCGGCGGGACTACCGGAGGCTCTGGTACCGAAGTAGTAGAATAATTAGGGATAGAAGGAGGAGCATTTCAAGCAACAATAGCTTTGCAAACAGCTACGGCTTCCGAAACAGCAATGGAACTAAAACACCGACAGAATGAAACGGCGACTATAAAACTAAACTGTGCCGGCGGAACGGTGAAATGGCGGAACGAAACGGCGATTATTAACGGAAGGGAAGAAAACTCTAATCGCCAGCTCATGACATTGGAGAGTGGGGATATTCTCTCTGTTCAACTCTTTTGCGCGCTCTATCTCTTAGCACAACTAACAAGATGGTAAAAACAGGAGCATTTATCATTCGTGAAAAAGGCATCCTCCTATCCTTTCACGGGGCACCAGATATATCCACTCTCGCCCACGCTCGTCCACGCAAGTCTCCCTTCCCTCTGCATACTCCCGGGTGTGCATGAATAGTGCGGTGTCGCTACCTGAGGTACAAGTATCATAAGGGTGGTGTTTTCCAGATGGACTGTGGGACCGGGTAAGGTTAAGGGTTGGCTTATCCCAAGGAACATAATGCTGTGGCGGGGGTGGGGGCCATAAGGCTACCTACTGGTGGATACCGGCTCAGTGAAGCTAGTATAATTTTCATATATCAACCACGCTAACAAAAGAAAATAGGCTTCACAATGACAAGCTTCATGAGGACTCCCATTGTCCGTGGCCTCTGCTTAGTCCCTTGAACACTCCCGCTCCTCGCGGATGCATATCCTACTTCCGGCGGATACATCGTTTCCTCCTAATGAGACCTTAAGCCTAAGCACGTCTCCGAAACCTCTATCCGAACGAACGAAACAATTATCAGAATGATGAAACGATATCGCGAGTATGTTACACGTTTTCTCAGCGCATCGAGCAGGTTCTGAGCATGTCGAGCAGCATCCACGATTTCCAACAGGGTATGGTCGGGCATCCTGGGCTCAAGCCCGCCTATTGCAGTTTTTCTATAGCAGGAACAGGGGTAGATCCCCTTTGTTTATCCTACATTTCATTAAACCTCCTGCTATCAGATATCGGATTGGGGCCCTGTTGTATGATTTCCCTGCCGGAGGAGACATTGCTTGTCTCAAGCTTCCTAGAGCGAGCTCCCGTCGTAGGCGGGTTGACCCAAAGCGCTATTACCGCGCCACTTCTGGTAGCTTGCTACCGCTTGGTCCCTCCGCTCCTGAGACCCCGCGAGGTCACACAAATGCTCTGGGGCACGGCTGGGGGCGCGGGTTCGATGAATCCTTGGGGATCTGGGTGAGGATGTGATGTAGTTTACGAAACGCACGTAGGTTGTTTTAGTGTCCAAGGTTTGGTTGCCAGTTTTGAGTTTCTGGTTGTCCTTATAGCTGCTTTCCAGGCCGGAGGGATCGGCATGACAGCCGCTATTTCAATCAGTTTAGGGCCCGTTTACCTACAGACGGCCGTTTAGATCATCTTGACGGTGGCAACCGTCAAGGGGCTCTTAACGGTCGGGAGTGTTAGGGGCGGAATTCTCATTCTGTGTTTACCTAACGCACCATCTACCATACTGCAACCCCTGCCACACCGTCAGCGGATAAATCCAAAATTTTACAAAACACAAGGTGAAGGCTCTAGGCTCACAACTCCCAACCTCCTCTCCCATCCAACCATTTCCGACTGGTTAAAACAGTGGACCCAACTTATATCCTCTACATGCCATCTACAATGACTCTCCAAGAGTCCTTCCACCTATTCTAGTGACTCTTTTTTAGCTGTTTTCACACTATAGCTTAAATCTCTCATGGTGCCATGCAAAAAAAATCTGAATGGGAGTCAGCAATGGTTTCAATTCTGATATATTTATCCTAGAGCCACTGGAGCAAAAAAGCATCGGATTTTCAGTGGTGGTATGGCCATTCTGGACATGACAGGTCCTAGGCATAGTGAGAATGTATCAATTTTTGAGGCTGACGGTGTTGCTACTGCACCTCTGGAGCACCTTCTAGTTTTGGCCCTTAAGCACCCAAAATTCCTGACGGTTGAAAATTAGGTAACCATATTTGGCACAGTCAGTTGCAACACAACCCTGAGCTAACGGTACCGTCAGAGCCCACCCTACAAATTTCAGTGACGGAACTGTTAGGTAGACGGGCCCTTAGCAGCTTCGGTACAGAGTGTATTGACAAACTTTAGTCCTGAATCCCAAGTTCGCTCCAGTGCCTCTACTGGCACCTCCACTCCCCATAGGTATATATATTGTTATGAGGGGCTGATTGAGGAGGAGCTGGTGAGTGGACAAGTGAAAGAAAGAGGAACAATGAAAGAATAAAGCTCAGGAGGAAACAGTTGTATATTATTCAGATTCGTATCCCACTTGCCTACCCTTCTATCTATGGCGGAATGAGGGTTTATATAGGCAATACCAAGAACTTCATCCAACCTCTGCACTTGCAGAAATCCATCCAGAGATGGTCTTATGACAAAGTAGTTCCAGCTCCCTTTGAGTCAAGTATTCCCATCTATCCCCGGGTTGTTCTCCGATCGCTGTGGGCCATATATGTAAAGTACTAGGCCAAAAGGATCCGTATGATCGGTGGTTACCACGCAATACCTCAAAACACCCCACTCCTACAATCAACCACCCCTCAACCATGATGCCTCCACACAAGACAGGCTACCTTACAGGGTTTGAGAAAGGGCAAATAGTTGCTCTGAGAAAAAAAAAAATCTCTTTTGGAGAGATTGGAGAGCTCTTAAACTGTCTAAAGAGTACTGTTCAAACTTTCTATGACGGCTTCCAAAAGAGGGGTGATGCAAAAAACCTCCTTATACCTGGAAGACCCAAAATTATCGATTCCAGAACCCAACGCCGCCTAGTCGGAGAGTCTAAGAAGGCATGCCGCCAGACTTTATCAGAATTGCGCAATGATGTTGCACCAAATTCCTCCCTCCAAACAGTCAAGAGAGCTTTAGCCTCAGTCAACATAAAGAAATGGAGAGCTAGGAAAAGAGCTCTTCTAAAGGATGAGCATGCTGTTAAGAGGTTAGCTTGAGCAATGAAGTATAAGGGTTGGACAAAAGAAGACTTTGAAGGAGTCAACTTTAGTGATGAATCCTTGGTTGAAAAGTCTAAGGATCCTAAGGGTATATGGGTGTTCAGAACACCTGAAGAAAAGTGGCACAAAGACTGTATTCATGGAGTTACCAAGGGGCCAGGGGTAAAGCTGATGGTGTGGGCTTGTATTTGGGGCAGAAATAAGGGTCCTCTGATTCCTATTTTTGACAAGAGTGTGGATAGATTTGTATATATTGGAGTTTTGGAGGATGGTTTAGTTGATGTCTGGCAGGAGGTGGAGGATACAGTTGGGGATCCTATCTTTCAGCAGGATGGTGCAAGGATACATACTGCAAGATATACCATGGCTTGGTTTGAGGAAAACAACATACAGGTTATGGAATGGCCAGCCAATTTTCCTGACCTCAATCCTATTGAGCACTGTTGGAAGAGGATGAAGGAAAAGCTACACCAGCGCTTTCCCAACATCCACAAGACCAAGGGGGGCCCAGAAACTGTTAGAAAACATCTAGCAGTAGCTCTAAATCAGGTTTGGACTCAGGATATTGAAGGGGATTTTCTGGAAAGGTTGTGGGAGTCTATGCCTAGTAGAGTTGCTGCTGTCATAGATGCAAGGGGATGGTATACCAAGTATTGATTTTTTTGTTTTCTAATTTTACATATAGCTTTTCTTATATTTATTGTATGTCTACACATATTTTCAGTTTATTTCAAGTAGTTGTGGTTGTAGGGGTAGTAAATTTATAGTGGTAGTGGGGTTGCCGTTGCGTTGCCGGACGGTTCTTTTTGTACCCGTATGATA